TATCTTAGCTCTGGAAATTGTTATTGAATATGTCAATGCTGTTGTAATGAAATGCTTCTCCTAATTATATGGTTATTAAATAAATAATTAAAAAAAAACTTGAGCCAAAGGTACTCAAGTAAAACGCTGTCTTCTGAAAAAAGAGAGGCAGGGGAACATTATGAAACAATGACAAAATCAAGTCACCTATAAAGTATTTCTCTATAGCCCTATTACATCAATGAATGAGAAATAACTGAATCAATACATCAGTATTTTAAAGATTTCTAATGAAAGAGTAAACAGAGGAAAGAGTCTCAGTGCCTGATAACCTCATAGACAGCTCAATATTATCGCTGAAGAATTATATAAATAAGGGCTAGAGAGATGGTTTGGTGGTTAAGAGCATGTTGTTCCTCTTGCAGAGGACCTGGGTTCAGTTCCTAGCACCCATGTCTGACAACTGCCCATAACTGCAGCTCCAAGGAATCCAATGACCTCTTCTGCTTTCCACAGACATCCACACACATGTAGTATTCACTCACACAGACACACAAACACACATGTAAATAAGAATAATAAAAATAAATCTGACAAAAAGAACTCTTGCATATATGGATAGCATCTATGAAGAATTCCTTCCTCAGCTAAAGTACTAGATCAAACTAATTCTGTACAGGAAATCCAGAGGACAGAAAGAACATGAGAAATAAAACACAATAATGTAATTGGCAAAATCTCACTGTGGGAAACTGCATGACAAGGGAAGAGTATTCCCTCAACAAATGAATTATCCAAAGTAAAGTTCAGAAAGAAGATGGAAGGTGGAAAACGAAATCAAACGAAACTTGAGAGACACATCAATGGCAATGTAGGATGCCTGCTAGGACCTCGCTGAAAACAGGTGCAAGTGGAAGGCTGAAGTGATGAGTATATGATATGGCTCACCAAGGAAATAGGAACTCCATTTGTGATGGGACTGAGAAATGATCGCGAAACTTCTTCAAGACATAACAATAGTGCTACAGCTGTATTTTGAAAAGTGTCTTTACCTCTTACAGGGAGCACTAATATTTTTCCCAGATGAATTGTAAAACGTATGAGATATACTTAATAATAATCTGGTTGGTGGAAGGGTTGCTTTAGAGCAAACAAAAGGAACAGTGGGTTTTAGCTGGGTATTAGTTACCTGGGATTCATTATGGCACACTAATTTTGTGTGCTGTGTGAAAATTTTCACATTAAAATGTTTTTAAACTTTTCAAAGTTGGAAGAAGGACTGTTAGAGAACAAAAAGGGGACTAGCCAGAAGTGTGGGCAAGAAGGGAAAACAAAGTCAAAGGACCATATACACATGCATGGAAAGGTCATAATCAAACCATAGTATCATATAATTAATATACACTAAAACTACAAAGAAGTTAAACGTCGGAAAAAAATAATGGGTCGCACTTACCTTGTTGGATATCCTTCATTTCTAAATGTAAACTAGAGATCAAGATTCCCACAGTTTGAGAACGTTTTCCATCCAATAACTTGATGATCTGGAATTTTAAATACAAAAGAATATACACACTCAAATGATCATGCAATCTTTCAGAAAGTATACCAAAGACACTAGACTTTTAGATACACCAATGAACGAACTAGCATCACACCATAGGTACTCAATTTAATACTTAAATGCAAAGTTGCTTATTCACAATTATAGACATTCTACAAAATAAAGTGCCACAAAGAATTCAGCCATCCTAATACAAACACCAAGAATCTGTCGAGTATTTTACTCTGAGTTTTTCCCCTTAGGTTTTTTGAGACAGAGTCTCACCATGTGGCTTCAAACTCATGATCCTCCTACCTCAGCCTCCTGAGTACCACATCTCCTAGCTACCTTGATATGTTTTGGTAAATATATTTCAACCAAGTTGTACCAGTGAGATATTGTGCAGTGCTGGTCTCGCCTTTTCATTTATCACTGGGACGCATTCATATTATCATATTACCTCTAGTCTTATTAGTGATGCTATCTGGCTGGTTTAAGGGAAAGGACATTCTGGTCTTACCAGGACTTTAGAAAGTTGCAACTCTAGGAATGTAACTCCAACCTGAAGTACTGATTACTGTGTTTAGCTTATAGATTTATTCTAGAAATTAAATGGTATAATACATGCAGAGACTCTAATATAATTCTTGACGTATGTTCATTATTTAAATAAAATTTCTCTGATTCAGAGAGTTAGGTAGCTTCCTATTATGCTGTCCTTGATACAAAACAACTGTCACATATTGTAAATAAATCTCTAATTTAAAATTATTTGACATTATTATTTTACACCATGTATCTATGGAAGCTTACAATCTTTTAATGTACTTCACTGACAATTACGTGAACTTTTACGTACATTTTTTGGAGCGGTCTTATATTTTTCTAAATTTATTAAATCAGCTCCAGTAATGTACATGCTGTGGCTACTAATGCAAAAAAGAAAATGGTCTTTTCTCTCATGTGGCAAAGCTAGAAAAATCAACCGATGACAAACATAAAACATTAAGTTGTAAGTTTCTGTGCATGTTAGTGTATGAAATAAAAGCTAAGTCAAATAGCTATCCTTTCCTTCCTACCTAGGCAGTTGCAAATGTACCAAAAATACTGCACTCATAAGAGTAAGGAGTAACAAAGCCAACCTCATATTAATATTACGGTACCTCAGTTACTTGCTGGTCAGACAAAAAGGGATAACAAGGATCTGTTCCAACCAAGATTATCAGTGGAGCCACATAACTGTCAATTGATACTGAATAAATTATTACCAGCCATTTATCTTTCCTTTTTCTACAGAGAATGCCTATTTTCATGAAACCATTACTCTAAAATAAATACCAAGCATGTATTTACCAGGGTGTAGGAGAAGTCTGATTGTTCAGTTTGATAGTTTCATCATTTTAATATTAGCTTAAGAGAAAAATTCTTGGGAGATGGCACAGAATTTAAGTTGTTTTTAAAAAGGAATTAAAGAAAAAATTTGGTGTTTTAATTTTTTCATGAAAGTAGATAAAAAGAAAGAAGAAATTAAGCATAATTTAGTATCTTTAAAATGCTATTTTTATTTTCTTCTTGGAGACTCCAAGTTTAAAGTCAAATTATTTTAGAAGTCCAATATAAAATTAAGAAAAACATCAGTTTTATATAACTATTCAGTCATTCATTCATTTAAAAATCTGTTCTGTGCATTTGTTGTGTGTCTGGAACTACTCAGGACTCTAATGATGCAGAGGTGACTAAAACAGATCTAGCCCTTGTCCTCAGGAAGTTTATAGCTTAGAAATTTAAACCAAATATCATAGTAAAGTTACTAGAAAGAGCCACTCAACTGGCAAATAACATAGTCACCTAAACTGCCTGGAAAGCACCTTTCAAAGAAGAGCTTTGGGAATTGACTTGATTTATCCTTAAGTGTCCAGGATAAAGACTGAGGTATCCACAGCCCTGGCATATACATTAATATGCAGGAAACGGGAAAGGGAATCAAGTTCATGGCAAGATTATAATTGGTTTCTTCATGAACACATTTCTTCAAGTAAACATGCCAACTACCCATTAATAACATGTTCTGCCTACAAGAAAGACATTCCAAGGGCAAGTTTTCTGCTAGCTAATTAAAAGAAGGCAAGCAAAACTCCGTAAGAGCCCAGACACCATGAGAGATAGGGATTCTGTCACTGGATAAAACCAAGCAAATCCACTTCCACTTCATGACTTACGTGACCACAACTGTGGAAAGCCTGCTACCATGTAAGCCCTTCTTAGGATTTCATGTGGTGACGCAGCACCAGGGGAGGCCTTTAGGGAGTGCTTCCTACAGCTGGACTCAACATGTTAAGTTTTTTTTTGAAGTTGACTTTGCTTTCCCAATATGGGGAGGACAAAAATGTACCAAATTATCCTAATACTTCTGATGGCACATTTATATATATATATATATCCATCCTTCTAAGTTCTATTTATCCACTCTTTCATTGTGGATTATTATTAATATTCTTCCTCAAAACTGAACAAAATGGAAGCAATACAATGAATACAGAATTATATGTCTCAAATTCTCCTTATTTATTTTCTCTCATCGTTTCAAAAACTTAATTCTATGTTTGAATTACCACAGACAGTCCATGACATGAAATATACTATTAACAATGCTTGTTTTATCCGGGCATGGTGGCGCACGCCTTTAATCCCAGCACTTGGGAGGCAGAGACAGGCAGATCTCTGTGAGTTCCAGAACGGAGACCCTGTCTCAAAAAGACCGAAAAAAAAAAAAAAAAAGATGAAAAAGAAAAGCTTGTTTATATAGTACAATGTTCCACATCTCATCTCTGGAATATTTTTCATCTTATATGATTAAAATGTTATATCCTGAACACCAACCTCCAATTCTCCCTTCCTCCATAGAAATCATGTCATCTATAAAGAGAGAACCTTTACTTGTTCTTTTCCAATGTGTAATCTTTTATTTATTTCTTACCCAGAACTAGCTAGAACTTTCAGCATTACATTGACAGAGGTGGTGAGAACCATTGTTTCCTATCTCAGAGACAAAACTTTCAGCTGCTCATCTTATTACTATGTGTCTTCAAGCTTTTAATATATGGCCTTTATTAATAGAGGTAATTTCCTTCTATTATTAGCTTGATTGAGTCTTTTTTGTCATGAAAATATGTCAAATTTTGTTTTTTTCTACATATTTTGTAATTTTTTATTATTTGTTTTGTTATTGCATCACGTTCATTGATATTCATACACCAAACAATTTTTGCTTAACAGGAATAAATGTCACCTGACCATGACTTGTTATCCTTTTAATGGTCTCTTGAATTTAGATCGCTAGTATTTTATTGGAGATACTCACATCTATATTAATCGGGGTCTATGGTTTTTATTTCTTAAAGTATCTTTGGTAACAGAGTAATGCTCATTTGATGAAATGAATTTACAAGTGTTCCAATTTCAGAGTTTTGAAGCATTTGAGAAGCACTGGTCTGATCTCTTCAGATGTCTGGTAGACTTCTCCATTCGAGACATCTTCTCGTGTCCTTGGACATCCTTACTGGTTGTAACTATTTCCATATTTTCTCTTTCTTCACGATTCTGTCTTGGTAAGTTATATGTTTCTAAAAATGGATTCATCCACATTACTCAATTATGGGGGACATAATTGGTCATACTTGTTTCTTGTAATTCTGTGACATCATCTGTAAAGTCTGCTCTTTTGCTTCTGATTTTACATATTTAAGTCTCCCTCTTTCTCATTCCATTTAAAGATTTGTCAGTTTTGTTTATCATTTTTAAAGGCAGTTTTTATCTTTTTCTGTCATTTTCCTAATCCCGGCTTTATGTACTCGTGTTCAAATGTTTATTACTTTACTCTCCTGCTAACTCTGGGCTTAGCTTGCTCCACTGGTTCTATGACATACGGAGCTACCTTGTTTATTTTTTTTAATGTACAAGTTCAGCTATAAAATTCCTTCCAGGACTTTTAAAAATATGTCACATAAAGTTCAGTGTGTTGTGTTTTTGTTTATCTAAAGCTTGTTTCCTATTTTCCTTTGGATTTCTTCTTTCACTCACTGGCTGTTCAGGAGGGTATTGTTTAATTTCCACATATTTGTGATTTCTCCAGTTTTCCTTCTATTATTGCTAGTTTCATTCCACTGTGGTCACAAAAGCTACTTGGTATGATTTCAACATCTTAAATTGTGGAGACTTGTTTTGTGACCTAACATTCTCTCTATCCTGGACAATAATCCAACTGTGAAGAATGCGTGCTCCATTCCCATCAGTGAAACTCACTGCAGAGTCACCCCTGGGCATCCATGGAGGACAGGCACCAGGACTGTCATGGCTACCCACATCAATGAAGCTCTAGATCTTTTAGGAAAAGGATATATTTTTTATACCTACAGATATCCTCCTGCATACCTAATAATTCCTTATACTACTCAGTGTGATGTAAATGGTATGTAAACATTTGTTATACAGTATCGCTTTGGGTATAATCACAAGACATGGATCTGCTTATGTCCAGTCCAGATACAACCCTCACAGTCCTAACTAAGTGAACAAGAGGCAAATGGTGCTCGGTGACTATTGGGAAGACAAAGGCATTGAAAATCCATGGCAGGCTACAGTAGAGCATGCCTACACAACACTCCACTAGCATGAATTCAGCAAAGTACTTAGCATTCAAGTTTCATTTAGAGGATCTTCTAGAATTAATTTCTTTTCATGCATTTCCCATCCACAGGAAAATTGGTACATTGATTGATGAAGAACCCATAGATATAGAGGGCAGATTATTTAAGTCTATTACATCCACGTGTCTATAATGCTGTCCGTATTTCCTTTTCACTCTGTTTCTCTCAGTTACTGAAAATGGGGTATTAAAATCCACTATGACTGCAATGCTTCCTGTTTCTTCCTGAAGTTTTTTCAGGGTTTGCTTCATATATTTGGCTCTGATGTTGGGTATGTTACACTTTCTTGGTGAAT